ATATATATATATATGGTATTATTGTTAGCAGAGCTCAAAAAAGAAAGTTGTATATTCATGTAACGAATATGGTATTATTGTTTCATGGATTTGTTGTGACATGCAACAAATCACGGAAGATCTTGCATCAGAGGAACAGAGGGAAAGTAAGTCAATATAGTTGTTGGCTCTCTCTTTCTATACATTATTTGGGTGGTCTTTGCTTCTTCTCTAATTTTTTCTGTTATACCGATTAGTAGCTCAAGTTTATATATATTAAGGAATTCACAGTTGGCATGAAAAAAGTTCACACCTCAAGGGGATTGATGTAGATAGTCTACCCATTTTCATATTTGAAGTAATTATACATTAAGCACCTTATCTTAATAGGTACTTGCAGATTATTAACATATTTGGTCATTCATGTTTTTCCTAGCTTGCAGCAAATGTGGATTACTCTTCCTTCTCTTTCTTTGTGTTGATATCTCCATTATCCCTTTTGCTCTCAAATCAATCTGTTGATGGAAAGTACTGCACCAACTAAGCGTGTTGAATATTTTTTTATAAGTGTCTTATAAGGTTCAGCAGATAAAATAATAGATGCAATAGCATCAGTTGCACTAGCTGGAGTTTAATTATTGGTAGACATTGTTTATGTGGGAATTTATCAAAAGAAGGAATAAGAAGTTGCCTCACATCTCCCGGCATCTTTTTATCTATCCCATCTACCCGATCCTGGTATTTGTAAATCTCACTTATTTTTAGTTATACTTCTTTGGTATTTCTTTTGTTGCGTCTTTCCTATTTTCAAATTTTAAGTTTACAGTAAAGTAAGCATTTGAAGTTTGTTTTGTATTTGGAAGGCATTGTTGCTATCTCGCTGTCTGCAAACAGATTCTACAAGATATAATCTTCTTGAAAATCCCACTATTGACACCCCAACGCAGCCAACATCATCTTGGTACAGAGATGATTTTTCAATAACATGTTGCACTTATCATACAAGAACCTCATGTGCTTCCTGAGAAAGGTTTCCTCTTTTATTAACTTAATGTTGCCAATGTGTTCCCTCTGCAAATGTGTACAGACCAAGTCTGCCTTTAAACATCTTTTGTATTTTGTTTGCCAGTTGTCAGTCACCATGTTCCACCAACTCAACCCCAAGACAATTTAAACAAAGGAAAAAGTATACCATCCTCTGACCATTTCTCTAACAAGTAAGCCTGTTCTTTCCATTACGTGTTCCGTATGACATATTGATCATCCCAATATTGTAAATTTTCCATTATTACTAATTTGGCATTGCTAATCTATTTTCTCTAACAACATGTATAATACTCGACTTATCTAAAATTGCCTACTTACATTTTAACTTCAACCTTTAAACATA